TTAATTATTTTCTCCAATTTAGCGACCAACGTTGGTCGCTTTTCTTGACAGGCCAATTTTGATCTCCAAATTTTGATCGCTTTTTTCCGGATTTTTTGTAGTGCATCCTTATGTCTTCTTTTCTTTGTAGTGTCTATAAAGTTTATGAACTTGTCCAGGATCCTTCCATATTTGCAGAGAGTAAGAAGTACATGAAGGCTAAAGCAATTCTGTCAACTCTTCGGGATTTTGAAAGTTATTGGAGCTTGGGAAATAATCGATGTTCTTCAGCAACGCGTTCTTTTCTTACTACGTTTGAATAATATGACCCCCGTAGAAGGGGCATTCAAAAGTATGCCAATGATGTCCGTTTAAACTTTACAGTTACGTTCATTCGTGTAATATCAAAAAGTAATCGAAGTTCAAAAATTCAAATATTCTCAAATTGTTCATCGCAATTTTTATTAACAATTTTATATGATTGGTTTTTCCTTTTTCGGATGATTAATTTATACTTTTTAATTTACGTATTTTATAGAAGTACTATATATATATATATATATATATATATGGGAAAAAGGCCAAAATTGTATCTATACTTTGGAAAATTAGTCACGTTTATACCCGTTTCTACTTTCCGTCTAAAATTGTCCCTGCCGTTAACAAAGTAGATAAAATTATCCCTACTTCTAACGGATTTCCAACGTGGCAATGGGCCCACCACTAAATCTGCCAACTAGGCAAAATATCAACCCAAAAAGAGAAAATCTCACTTTATACCTATTAGTTCCAAACTATTTACCCTTTAATGCCCAGGCCCAAACTATTTACTATTCCTACCCATGTGCCCCAAACTATTTACTCGTCTTTATTATGTTCCTCTTCTTCTTCTTCCTCATTTTACCTTCCTCCAATTTTTAAAGTTCACAACTGTATTTGTTTTTGCTTCGGCAGTCATCTTCTAGGTATATTGACGAAGTCTTAGGTACCAAGAAAAATAAGAACTCACAAGAAGAAAAAAGCTGAGCAAGAAACAATATTTTTTGGAAGCTTCCATAAAACTAATACTATTTTGCTAACCACTTTTAAGCCACTTTTCTTAATCTAACGCGGTGACGTTTTAAAACTTACACATTTTCTCATAGGAAGAATAGATCAATTTTCGAAATTCCATATGAATGAGTTCAAAATGCCAGATCTGATTTTTTATAGTGTTTTACTGTTGAAATTCGTTAGTTATTGTTCTTTGATGTGTAGATTGTACCTTTGATGCTGGTTTTTGGAGATTTATTGTACATAAATTTAAATCCACCATTGAAGGACCTTGAAGCTTGAAATTTATATCTTGGTTTGTTTGAGTTTTTAATTATTTTGATCCGATCCTGTATGAGTTTGTTTGGAAAGTTGTTTGGAGGTTGTAGCTAAAGTTTTAGTCAATTTGGTGGAGATTTAGTAGTATATTTTAGAAATTTGGGTTGAAATATAGTTGAACCAGAGAAGAAGACGAATTTGTATTGTATACCCAAATAGTATACAAATATACCATTTTAGTATACAATTCATTCCAACTATATACCCTATTAGTATAACTATATATTATATTGGTAACATATGCTAGTTCAATCATTTTTTGGTTGTATTAGCTGCATTTAATTGGTACAATATTTGATTTTCTTTTAATAATAGTAATATAGTACAATATCTTGAACTACCTTATTATATTAATATGTGGTACACTATTTTTTTTTTTTCTCTTTATGCATGTGTGTTATGTAATAGTAGTATAGTCATATAGTTGCCGGAAATTAACTAGTAAAACTGTATACCATGTTGGTTAGTTATATGCCATATTGGTATCATATGGTAATTTGAACATTGTTTTGGTTGTTTTAGCTGCATTTTAAGTGAATTGTATTATGAAATTATTTATATGAACATGAGTTGCAATGCTGGAATTTTTTGTGCGCCGATGGACATAAATTATGTGTATTATGTAATAGTTTTTATAGTTATAGGCAATTGTTGGAACGACCACATACAACTATATACCCTCTTAGTATACGAAATGAGCAAGTTGTTTTGCGAATATTTAGCTTGCAATACGAGCATGTAATTTTCTCATACTTTTATTGCGTCCTTTAATGTTTTGGTAGAGTATATAGTCGCAGATAGTTGTAGAAATCATATGCTCTGTTGGTATATATATATACCATATTGGTATCACATGGTACTAGAAGTCTTTTTTGCTACTTATACTTTTGTTGCATTTTTTAATATTTTATTATCATTTTTATTCTAACTAGTATATATGGAGATTTGGTTGCCGTAGATTATGTTTTCTTGCTCTATAACTGATTGTGTTAGTGCTAATGGTAGAGTGTGTACTGATATTTATAGGGAAGGAGATCAAGATTTGAATGCAATCACGTGTTGATTCTTAGAATCTGATTATGTAATTTATGGTGCTTAGCAGCAGTCAATGTGATATTCAGTGAATTAGATCAAGTGACAACTGATATTATTTCAGTTTAATAATTGAATTTAAAAAATGAGAAAGAAAAAAAATAAAAGGTATATTGTACTAGTTATATTAAAAAAGGTGAACAAATATTTACTATATCAATTATTTTTTCTTATTGTATAAAAAAAGAATAATAAAAAATAGTGAAAACGGTAAAGAAAATTAGATTATGAAGAGAAAGAGAATATAAAAAAAAAAGTTAAATGAAATTAGAAAAGGAAAAAAGAAAAAAAAATAAGAAGTAAACGAGAAAAAAGAAAAGGAGAAAAGAAAAAAAAGAAAAAAAGAAGAAAAGAAGCATAGAAATAAAAAAGAATTGGAGAATAAAGAAAAAATTTCCCACAAAAACTACTATGGGTAGAAAATGTAATTAGTTTATGAGTAGAAAAATAAATGGGTAGACAAAGGTAAATAGTTTTGTTTTTGTGGGTAACTGTGTCATTCTCCCTTATTTTTTCCTTTCAAGATGTCGATGAAGTAAAGTTTAACTTGGGGTGGCAATTTGAGCTCAAACCCATCCAACCCGCCCAGAAATTAATGGGTTGGGCTAAACATATTAGCTCATGGGTCTATTTGGGCTTAGCCCAAGTTAACCCATTATTTTTTATAGCTCATTTTGACCCATTAAGCAGCCCAAATACAACCCATGAAACTCACCCAAAAGAAAGGAATTTCAACCCAACATATCTAGAAATTTACTTAGTTGCCCCAATTTTACCTCTTTTTTTTTTGTATTTTCAATTTTTTTTTTATATTTTTCTTCACCACCCACCCTACACCCTACCCCCCCCCTCACAACCCCCTCAATTTTTTTTGTTACTTTTTTCTTTGTATTTTTAATTTTTTATTTTTTTTTCTGCACAACCCACATACCCTACCTCCTACCGCCCACCCCTACTCGCAAAATATTTTNCCCACAAAAACTACTATGGGTAGAAAATGTAATTAGTTTATGAGTAGAAAAACAAATGGGTAGACAAGGGTAAATAGTTTTGTTTTTGTGGGTAACTGTGTCATTCTCCCAATTTTAAAAGTCCCATGCCCATTTCTTTGACCCAACTATCCAACCACCTTATGGGTCCCACCTCTCTCTCTTAATTCAAGTATTCTAACCATAACTTTTCTTCTTCCTCGTTTCTTCTTTTCTAGTTCTTGTTCTTCCTTCTTTTTTTCTTTTTCATTTATGGCTAGAAAATTATGGGTCAAGGTAACCAACTGAAAATTTTATCAAAAAGAAAATATTATGAGCAGAAAACAAAAAATTAATTTGAAAAATTTAGAAGATTCCATAATAAAAAGAAAATGATTTCCATTATATTAAGTATAGCAATTTTTAAGGAAATGATTTCCATTCTCACTTATATTTTATAAAAAGATTATAAATTTCCCTCTCTTTCCATAAACCAACAATTGCCAAAATTCTCAAAGATATTTTCCTTTATTTCTCTCATTTATGCCATCTTCTTCAACAAGATTATTTTCTTCAACCATACCTGAAACTAGAATGATAAAATATAAAATTAATTTAATATACTTAGAATAGCACTATAATTTATAAACTATAAAATAACGTTATTATACTGTGTATATTAGTATACTAGAATTTTCTTGTAATTTATACACTATTAAATATCATGTTTTAATACTATATATATATCTATTCCATGTATATTTTTATTATTCACTATTATTAATATTAGTACATAATCAATATATACAATGGTTGAAGAAGTAATAATAAAATATGACATTAATATGATTTTTACTTGGTATATTATTTGGTTGACTTATACAGTTACACATGTTTACATGGAGTATAATTATCTATTATAATTTGTATATAGTTATATTATAAATTTTTACATAATTTATTCAGCGTATATTATCGCAACTATAAGGTTATATTCTAACCTTCTGTATGTATATTAATTATAATTATATGTATATTAATTATAATTATATGTGATATTTCAGATTTGTAATTTTATTTTACTATAAATTAGAACGAACAAATTATGCAATGTGAGAAATAATTAAGTACAAGTCTTTTTTGAATAGTATAACTTGATTACCTTTTCTTAAGAAAATAAATGCCATTAATGAAGAAGAAAGAGGAGGAGGTAAAAGGGAAAGGAGGGGGGTTGGTTTAAAAAGGTAGGCACGGGTCTCTTTGCCACGTTGGATTAGCATGGATGGGGTCGGATTAAATGACATTAATGAAGAAGGTGGGCACGGGTCCCATTGATGATAATTGCCTAGTTGGCAGATTAAGTGGTGGGCCCATTGCCACGTTGGAAATCCGTTAGAAGTAGGAATAATTTTATCTACTTTGTTAACGGCAGGAATAATTTTAGACGGAAAATAGAAACAGGTATAAATGTGATTAATTTTTCAAAGTATAGGTACAATTTTGGCCTTTTTCCATATATATATATATATATATATATATATATATATATATATATTACTTCTATAATATTGGGCACGTGCTATCACCTCCTAGTATTATAGAAGAGCTAGATTTGGACATGTCTGCTTGCAAGTCAATAGATTTAAAACTGAGGGCATATTGGCCTTTTCTACTTATACGTGTCTTCCTCCTCCGACTGAACAGCCACGTAGCATATCAACAGCTTTTTCGGTTCCATAGCTTCTTCTTTTTCAACGTCTGTTCCATAGCCTTTAGGCTTCTACCGTGTTCTTCTTCCTCAGTTCAATCTAATCGATCCGCTTAACTGCAATTTTTGTAAATCCTCAGTCCTCCTTTGTGCACTGACCAGAAGTACTGTGTCCAATCCCTAACAAAAGCTACGATTTCACTTGAGAGCAGAGAACTCAAATAAGAGCAATACAACAACAATCTACTGTAACCCACATAATCAAACCGTAGCACCGAGAAAGCAAATAGAAACCAGGTAATAATCCCTTTTAGAAGTTGAAATTTGATTTTGATCTATAACTATTTTGCTCGATCATTGCTAATGTTTCTAATTTTCTACTTAGTTTCCTCATCTCTCTGTAAATTAGCTTCTTTTTTTTCTACATATCTCCATTTTCTCTTTGATTTTGGGGTTTACCTGTAAGTTTTGCTAAGTTTCTTGGTGATGGGATTTCGAAGATATGTGCTGGTTTTTGCAATTTTTCTCTTTGTGTTTTAGGCCTATGTTGTACGTGTGATTTGGCGCTGATTTTTTCTCCTCTCTTTGTTCCTTTCTTTGTTTTATCCATTTATGTTGTCATACTTTTCACTTAGACACTCATCTTAAGTATATTCCATAGATCTTTACTCGTAGGCAGCAAAATGCAAAAGGTGGGTGTAATTCACACACCAAAGTGACCAATAAAATAAGGACATGTGGATTTAACTTTTAAAAATTAAAAAAATAAATAAATATACAAACCAGAACCCCAACCCCACCCCACCCCATCGTCATCTTCCCCAGGACCCTCCTCGCCGGAAAATCATTTTTCGGCTATTTCTTTCCAGCTCTATTTTCTTCTCCAAAAATTTGATTATTTCTTTTTCTTCTTCTTCATTCTTCTTTTATGGGCTAAAACTACTGAAAATTTTGGTTGTTAAGAGTTTGGAACCAAATTGACTGGAGAATACTTTTCTGGTGACGGAAATCGGTGATTTATTTGTGCAAATCAGCTATTGTAATAGCAGAATAGCCCTTTTTTTACAGAGGTATAGGAGTGTTATTGAGATGGTTTAATATGTTCCTTTTCTTGTTCTTTTTTCTCAAAGGATTGTTGGTTTTAATAAATGGAGAAATCAAGGACATGACAGAGATGGGGAAACCACCCGGCGACATCAAATCTTTGAACAAAACCTTGTAGCCTTCAAAATCTTTTGTTGCAATAGGAACAATTTTTTGGGTGTGGGCTTGCTAATCCTGTACGCTACCCGACATTCTCGCCGGAATACTTGGTACCGCAAACTACGACCCATTTGGACTCCTAACTTTCTGAAGGTGTTTTGGATGGGTCTTAAAAACGAGAAACAAAAATAAAAGACTAATGGTGGTAGCCGAATTTAAAGGTGGAGATGTGGTGGTATGCTCAGATTTAAGGAGACGATAGTAATGGCGTGAAAGATCTAAAAATTTAAAAGAAATATTCACCGGAAAGTTTTGTGGCAAAAGCTATTATTTTCCGGCAAGAAGTATGAAAGGTTTGTCTTTCGGACCATTTTTACGGGCTTGGAAAATGTGAGAAACACTCACCTTGCCATGTCAGCATTAATCTGGTTAAAGTGTTCAAATGGAATAGACTTAAGATGGAGTGTCTAAGTGAAAAGTATGGACAACTTTAAGGGGCCGACGATGTATTTTGCCTTTATGTTATTTTGGGCCTTTCTCCCAACTTTTTTTATTACTTATGTTGTAGTTAATTTATTTTTATTTTATCTTCTTTGTTTCAGTTTTTACTCTGGGTTGTGGTAGCCGTCTCCTCTGCATCATCTTGTAAGCACTGCACTTCTATTGGTTTTTTTTTGTTTTTTTTTCCTTAACTTCTTAGTAGATTGTTTAAGTATAAGTACTATCTGTTTATTAGAGTTATTTTTTGTTTGTAATATATGTCAATAAGACACAACTTATATTACTATATAGTCAGATTAAATAATGTTAAACGCATCCTTGAATTGTGATTCAATTTTGGTTTAGTATTTTTGGAAGCCTTATTTTTCAACGAATAAAAAGGACTTCATTGTTGTCGAGTTAGTATAAAAAGGATCAAACCTTTGAAAAATACTAACGGTAAAAGGACTAGGCAACACGAATTATATAGAGTGATGCAGTCTGATAAAAAGGATGCTCTTATACCACGGGTCTAATTGTATTGGGAAAAAATTGAATTTAAATATTGAAGGTGACGTGTCATGACACGTGGACCGGTCAAATAGTCAAAACGTGGTAATCAGTTAGAACACACGAGCAACAACAGACGCGGGAGAGAAGATACTTAAAAGGCACGAACTATTATTCAAATGAAACGAGACTCGTACCTGTTCGAGTCATTTAAAGTTCGAAGATCAGAAGGAATTGGAGACATGAATCTGATAGCGAAAAAGAGTCCAAATTCAGCATTAAATGCTAAATACGTTAGAGAATTTTTATTTAATATGAATGATTGAGTAACGTTTCCTTCAATATCATTTATTGCTCGTAATTGCCTCATTAAAGCAAAGGCATTACACTTTCTCTTAAAAATTAACTATAAAAAGAGGAAGTCACAACATCTGTAGGGGACACGAAAAACACTACTGGAATATACTTTGTTTTATTTGCTTTCTGATTATATCATTCAAAATTTCTTTCTTATACACTTTTCCGATTATCAGTAACCCGAGTTCTTCTAAATTCGAACTTTGACCTAAAATCTAATTTTTGGTTAAACAAATTGGTTCCGTTATCGGGAAACTGATAATCAAGCATATCTCAATCTAATTTTCTTGATTGCATCAATCATGTCAAACAACAATGACAACACTCAAGGAAACCCAGAAATTCAAACAATCCAACAACTTCAAGGAGATTCCCCACATGGTTCTCCACAAGGTTCTCCACGAGGCTCCCCACGACGGTCCCGTAAAGGCACTCCTGATGGATCTTACACAGATGGTCAGGCTCAATTCGAAAATGTTAAAACCATGAATGAGGCTCTGCAAAAACTTATTGCCTCTCAAGTCAATAACGCTCTTCAAGCTTTTGTTCGCCAATTACCTGCTGTCCCACCCACGTCTGCTCCAAACAACAACACTTTGGAGAATCCTCGTTCAGGATTGGTTAATTCAGGCAGCGGTGGAACCCCTAGTGAAACACAAGAGAGAGACCCAGGTAATCCGGTTAACTCTGATTTACAAAATCTAGTACTAACCTTGCAGAAACAGCTTAAGGAGCAAAATGAACGCATAGAGCAAATACCTGGAGTACCGCCTGTGATCAAGGGAGTGGATATAGATAAATATTCCCAACAACCATGGAAGCCAAGTGCTGCTCCCCTCCCAATTCCAAAGAAGTTTAAGATGCCTGATATTTCAAAGTATGATGGTACATCAGACCCACGAGATCATGTTACTGCATTCACAACAGGTGTCAAGGGCAATGATTTGACTAAGCAAGAAATTGAGTCGGTCTTAGTCAAAAAATTCGATGAAACACTCACTAAAGGAGCCTTAACATGGTATTCTCTTTTACCTGAAAATTCTATAAATTCGTTTGCTGAGCTTGCAGATTTATTTATCAAAGCACACTCGGGAGCTCAAAAAGTTGAAAAACGAATGGAAGATATCTTCAAAATCAAGCAAGGAGACTCAGCGTTGCTTAGAGAGTTCGTAGATAGATTTCAACGGGAAAAAATGACGCTGCCACGAGTACCTGATAATTGGGCAGCCATAGCCTTTGCTAGTAATTTGAATGAGAAGAGTTCAGAAGCCACGAGGCGACTCAAGGAAAGCCTTCGAGAATTCCCAGCAACAACGTGGAATGATGTCTACAACAGATACAACACAAAGATGAGGATTGAAGAAGACATTATTTTACGACATAAAACAGAAGAAAAGGTAAGCTCAAGGCGTGTGGAAAATGAAAAGAGATCCGGTAAAAACAGGTACTAGCCATACATGGGTCCTGCGGGAAAGGAC